AGTGCCAGATAATCTATAGAGAGGAGAGCGAAAGTGGCTTCAGGAACCGAGAAATTAATTATTATTCTAGTTTACAAGCCATGTATCAGTATGTCTCATAAGTATGATTTTCCACCATTCTCATTGTCTTTTTGGAGCTTCTCTTCCCCAGATTAGCTTAGGTGATCCTTCTCTGCCCCATGACACATAGTACCTCCCTTGTCAGAGCACTTCTCACACTGTATTGTAATTGCTTGTCTGTATTCCCAACCACACTTCAAGTTCTGTGATGCATAGGTCTGTGTCAGTCTTGCCCTGGAATGGAGCTGGAGACAGCATGAAATCAATGTTACAGAACTCACCAGCTACAGGAATGTTCCCTTGCATTGCCCTTCCCTGGTCTAAGGCAAAGAGCAGTTTGCAGAGGATCAGTTAACTCTGTTTTCTCTTCTGGCTACCCATGTGGGACTATGAGGCATGAGTGCTATGGGAGCAGGAACCAAGTTAAGCTTTGCTTTCCCTGAATATCCAGCATCTAGCACAATCATTCGTTCATGGAAGATGTTTTTAAAAAATTCTGAGAATGAGTGAATGAATTAGAGCAATGATAACCCCAATAAAGTTTCATGAAGAAAGGGCTTTTTCTTTCACTTATTCATTAATTTACCCCTTCATATATTCATTGATTGTATTGGATACTTACTCTATAACAGGTAGTATGTTTATGTCTAAAGGGGAAGGTAGCAGTTACGATACAGGGAAAACACTGGGCTTTCTAGGCACAATTAAAAGTGGCTCTTAACCTCATGCAGGCAGGACAGGGTGAGGGCATGCTTTTCAGGAAGTGACTTGAGGAAGTGATGGTGAGTCAGACTGTAAAAATCAAAAAAGGCTGGATGAAGAAGGGATGGGAATGGGTAGTGAGAATTCCAGGCCAAGGGAAGTAATTCATGATACAAAGGCTCAAGGACAAGAGAGCACTGCACACTGGAGGAAATGCAAGAAGTTGAATGCTGCCTAGAGCACGAGGCAAAGTGGAGTGGCAGGAGATGAGGCCCAAGAGGGAGGGGACAGATCTCAGGGAACATGGGGGTCAGCGAGGGAGTTGGGCTTTATCCTGAGGAGCGGAGAATGACTGAAGGGCTTTAAGAGTAGGATGACATCATCGGATACAGTTTAACTCACCCCAGCTGGAGAAAGCATTAGAAGGGATGACAAGATAAAAACTGAGTATGAAAGATGAGGATGGCTTGGTCTAAGGGGTGATCGCGGGGATGCGACTGGCATCAGAGCACTGAGGCAGGGGGAAGTTGGGCTCATATTCTCAAACAACTTGAAACAGAGCCAACCAACCCCCAGAAGGGCAAATCAAATGTCATTTTATTCCACACTGGCCATTACTTTTACTCTTCAGGACTTTGCTGAAGGCTACTGACAGATGTTAAGATTGGCTGGGTGTGAGTGCAGAGACTGAAGAGGATCTGGTTTCAAACTTCTTCCCCTGCCTGCCAGAATAGAGTCAGTGGAAAAGAAGAGGGACTAGAGGTGACCTAATGGAGAGAGAGTGGTGAATTACTGATGGATATACATGTATTGCACATAAAGATGCTGCTAAAGACAGTCTTCCCCTGGAGTGAACAGTTAGAAAATACTTTAATTAGATAAAGACACTCCCACCCTGTAGTTTGTTCCAGAATTGTGAGATAGTTGTAATTTGCAAAAGTACACTCAATATTATAAATAAAATTTTATCTTTGGAAGGCAAACACACACAAAGCAACTGTCTTTTACTATGAAGGAAATAAAATAAATAAATAGTAAATAAGTACATAAAGACAAAATCTGTGAGATAGTTGTAATTTGCAAAAGTACACTCAATATTATAAATAAAATTTTATCTTTGGAAGGCAAACACACACAAAGCAATTGTCTTTTACTATGAAGGAAATAAAATAAATAAATAGTAAATAAGTACATAAAGACAAAATCACATCCTGGCTGCGGTATATGCAAATGTTTAGTGTATGCATGTGTCAGCCACTGACGGGGGCTAGGGGAAAAATTCAGCCACAGGGGTGGGGGTGTGATGGTAGAGATAGTTATGATTATCAAAGGGTCAAGAAATTTTGAGAAATAGTGAATTAAGTCCTAGAAATATGTAGTCATAAAAGCCAATAGTTTGTTGTATTTTCTGCATTTGTTAAAATACAACATAATCATATTTGACATCTATTACTCCAGACTCTGTGGTAGACTCTGGGATCTAGAATCTTAAGAGATACCTTGCTCCCAGGAGTACTTGATTTGGTAGAAAAGACAGACACAGGAATCATTAATACCCTAACATGATAAGTACTATAATAGATAACATATTCAAAGAGCACAGAGAAGAGAGAGATTGATTCCTAGTTGTTCAATTGTGTTTACATAGTTCTGTATAGCTGGCACCATGACATTGGGGAACACCTATAATCCTATAAAATAATGTAAATATTAAAAAATCTTATAAAACCTATTATCCTCCCAGTATCCCAGGAGAGACATCATTCCTATGAGAGGACGTGACTGAGGTCTACAAGGATGAGATGACTTGGCTGAGATACTAGTACCAGATGAACAGGGTCATCACCCAGATCACAAGGGAAATCCAAGTCTAGATTCTTTGTTTCATTACACTAAATGTGTCTTTTAAAAAAAAAAAAATGAAGATACAAATTTCGGTTTCATTTCAGAGGCCAAACCTAGTCAACATTTTTAGGCATCGGAACCTGTAAGGAATTTGCTGTTAAGCTCCAAAGTGTGTCCTCCCCAAAATTAGTCTTCTACTTTCTAGGCTCACTGTACAGATTTGCTGTGATATGGAGGAAAAGCCAGGCTTGGGAATCACAGAGACTTGGCTCAGGACTCACTGGCTGTGCCATTTTAGGCAAGTATCAACATGCTCTGGTGCTCAGTTCCCCAAGTGGCACACTGGGGAATAAAATTACATAATAAGACATAAGTCAAGGCTCCTGGTGCCAAGTAGATGCTCTGGCTCAGTCTCTACTACCACCTTCCGAGTCCAAGTTACCATCTCTCACCCGGATTACAGCAATTTTTTTTTTCATTTATTCTGGACCACCCCAATCTTACTGGTCTCTGCCCAGAAAGCAAATAAGATTGTGTCACCACCATTGAAAGATCAAAATTCTCAACATGATTTATAATATTCTTTCCAAACTGCAGGTCATGAGCCATTAGTGGGTCATGGAAACAATTTTGTGAGTCACCATTAGAACTTTTTTAAAAAGTGAAATAAAATAGAGCAGAAATACAAGATTACAACACCAATAAGAATTATTTCATGATGTTTCGATCTATGTATACATTATAGAAAGATTCAGTCAAGTCAATTAACATATCCCTCACCTCACCAAATAATCAATTATTTGTGGTGAAAAAGTTAAAAATCTATTTTAGTAATTTTGTAATATACAATTCATTATTATTAACTGTGGTCACCATGCAGTGCAATCAATCACTAAAACATATTCCTCTAGTCTAACTAAATATATGCAATTATTACATGTCAATTAAAAATAAATAAAATCACTACAGATTTGAGGGCTTTATGCAGGCAATGCTTAGTGCTTACCTTTCCTAGTAACTTGAGGTTCTGCTAGTTCAAGTTCTTCAATAACAAAAGTCACTTAAAAATAGTTATCCAAATATGTACTATGGAATTTTGATGGGTAGTTGTGGTTTTTTAATGCTAATTCATTAGTAGTTTGGGGATGGTGATAATTTCTTCATTGATCTAATGCTCATTGTAAATATCTTCAGTTCATTGTACATATCAATATATTGTATATACATATTTAAAATAAACTTCAGTGCTTTCAGGAGAAAAAAAAATATTTCATAAAACTTGTTTTCTTATCGTTGGCCTTTTCAAAAAACGTTTGAAGGCCTCTGGCTTATGATACCCTGAGTGACATGTCCCCTGCCTCCTTCTTTAGCTCCATTTCCCATAATCTTCTCCTTTACCCACACCAGCCTTCCTTGAGTTCCTCCAACAGATCAGGTTCCTCGCTGCAGGGAGGCCCCCCAGCACATGCTATTTTCCTCTTTGCCTAGTTAATATCCTCCTCCAGGTCTCAGCTCAGATGCCGCTTCTTGGGCAAACCTTCCCAGACTCTATCCCGAACCCCCATAGAGATCATACTCGGTTTTTAATTATTTCTTTAATAGCAAGCTTCTTCGGTTAATAACAAGCCTTCTCCCTAGACTGCTGTTTTCATGACCGCAGGAACCCTGTTCTTGTTTACCACTGGAGCCCAGCGCCTAACCCAGGCTGGCACGTAGACATTCAGAGGGATAAATGAAGGAATGAATCAGCCTATCAACCAATGAGGTTGGCTGGTCTCCTTCCTTTCTGCTATCGGTTTTCTTTGTAAACCTTGCACCAAGTAAGCCACAGCAGGGCTGTACTGTCTGTCTAGGTTAGGAACTTCCTATAACAGGATTTCTGAACTTGGGTCTCGGCGCTTCCGATGCGCTTGAAAAAAAAAAAAAAAGACACCAAAGTTGTATATGCGTGAGGGCGGTTGAGCATTGGGCATTTCGGGGTCAGCGGAAGACTGATTTCACAGGCAGTCTCTGCTCATCCGCTCCAAAGAGCCACAGCTCCACGGACATCTCACGCCTCCCCTCTGCATCCCTGAGGACCCTGGGGCGCGCTAGATTAGGAGGTTTCTTGGAGCCCAGCCCAGGCGACCGTCCCTTCCCAGACCCGCGGACAAGGCCGGCCCAGCTCAGAGCTCCCACTTCACTGTTCGCAGCGCGTATCCGGGTGGACTGCTGAGCCCAGGCGGCGCGGCGGCAGGTGACCTGCGTCTCCAGACCCGGTGCAGCCCCAGGGACGTTGCCCGCGTCCCTGAGCCCTGGCCCAGGGCCTCCGCAGCCATCTTCAGGGAGGGAGGGAAGGAGGCGCGGCCTCCAGACACCGACCCGCCCCCGCCGCCGGGGCCGCCCAGCCCGGCTCGGCGCCTGGATTCCGACTTCCCCGCCCAGCCGCAGAGCCCGCGCCGCGGTCGCCCCGCCGCGCTCGCAGAGGCCGCCATGGGCACCCCGCGCTGGCTCGCGCTGGGCAGCCTCCTCGCCCTGGCCGCGCTGCTGGAGGGCCGGCTGCTGGGCGAGGGGGAAGCCGGCTTCGGCGAGTGTGACAAGTTCTTCTACGCCGAGACGCCGCCTGCGGGGCTGGCGGCCGATGCGCACGTGAAGATCTGTCAGCGCTCCGAGGGCGCCGAACGCTTCGCCACCCTGTACAGCCTTCGGGACCGCATCCCCGTGTACTCGGCGTTCCGCGCGGCGCGCCCCGCGCCCGGCGGCACCGAACAGCGCTGGCTGGTGGAGCCGCAGGTAAGCGAGGTGGTTCCCGAGCCAGGCCGCTGGGCTTGCTTCCAAGGGGCGCTTTGCAGCCACCTCGAGGGGCAGGGCGGGGAAAAACTGTTCCCACGCCTTCGGCGCCTTGGGCCAGAAACCCGGGTTTCGGATCCACCCCGGTGCGCCCCTGGAGTTACAGCCTGCCTTGCCCCCTGCAACTGGAAGAGCTTGGCCATCTGCGAGCCTTCACTTAAGCCCCAGGGGCGGGAGGTCCCCTGTGGGAGGTAGTTTTCCCTACGTTTCTGCGCAGACATCTGCAGCGTCTCATTCGTTTCCTGAATAGTGAGGAGCGTGAGACAGGGCTCCAGGAGATCATTCAGGTCCGCGGAAAGCCTAAGCTGGGCGCTCAAAGGCCTGGGTGCACGTCATTGCCACAACGTTCATTTGGGGGTGGGTGGTCAGGCTTTTTCATCCCCATTTTATAGAAGAGGAGACCAAGGTTCGGGGGGTGGGGTAAAAAGACTTGTGGAAGACCACCCATCAGGTAAGATGGGGAAGATCTATTTGGCTAGAAATTCACTGCCCTTTTACTAGGGAAAGCTTCCCTTCTGCAGAGCTCATCCTACCCTGGAAATCTTTCCCTTCCACGCACGGCAGCGGGTAATTCGATCTGAAGTTGTGTTGAGTTAGGACAATATAAAATAAAGGCACAGATTTTTAGAAATGCAATGGGATAGTTACAAATAGGGAAACATCCACTACCTCCAACTGATGGGAAGGACAAACCAGTTTTTCATGACTCTTCGTATGTATATTATCAGACCACTCTCTTGGTGTTCTGTCCCTTCTGACCAAACACTTCAAGAGGCCCTGCTGAACCCGCTGGCCTGCTCTTAACACATCCTGGCTCACTTCTGCTCAGTTGTCCTCCTCTCTACAAGACCCTGCCAGGATCGATCCCCTTTGACCTCTCATCAGCCTCCTTGCCCTGCCCTGCCCTGCCTTGCCTGCTGGAGGGGGAGCTGACCCACAGCGCTCAGGTTCCTAATGGTCACAGCTGCCCAGAACTGCACAGGTGAACAGGAATGGCTTTCAGGTGCTTCATTCAGAGCTCTTGGACTGTAATCTCATTCAGATGTTTCCAGCTCTGAGAACTTGGTCAGTCTAAAGCAATCTGCACCCAGTTTTGTTTGCATCTCCACATCCTTCCATCTACTTCATATGTTGGTGTCAGGAACTCTGAGATCAGTCATGTGAAAAAGACTTTTTAAATTGTATACAGTTAAGGTATATTTTAGTTTAAAATTAGTTTTCCCCCAACTGCACCCCTAGAGCTCACAGCGTATCCTCCAGGTCCTCATCATGAATTGTGATTATGGGCATATGAAGAAAGCAGGTGACCTGGTCCTTTCTCCTTGAGGGTCTCATGTACAGCCTGAGGAGACAGTGTATACATGTGAGGAAGACACAGGAATGCTAAACAAATTTCAGTTAAATTGAGAACATGTTTAGTAATGACCTGCTGTATGGCAGACATTTAGGATACCAAGAGAACTGAGTGTAGCTCTAGAATTCAAGGGCTCCCTGGTCTGCAGGTGGAGTTTGCTAGGTGGAGAGGCTGCATAGCATCTGATTAGAGCCATGCTGTGTGGGTTCAAATCCCAGTTCCTCTACTGACTAGCTGTAAACTTGGCAGACTGACTTGGAGATAGGTGATTGTGAGGATTAAATGAGTTACTATATATATAAAGTTCTCAGAGAAGTGCCTGACCCATATGTACTAGGTGTTGTTATGATATAAGTAAAAAAACATAATTTAATAAAGGTAAATAAAGTCTTATTAGATTTAATTCATCTTTGAGGTGATAGGGGAAAGCCTTAGGGTCAGGATGACATTTGTGCCATGCCTGGAAAAATAAGCATTCAGAAGGGAGACGGGGAGGACATTTCGAGCATCGGGGACATCACGAGTGAGGAATGCTTGTCCGATTCAGGCATAGAGTACGTGGGGAGTGGCTGGAGCGGGTAACCTAATACAGGTAAGTAGAGTACAGTCGATTCAAGTGCAGGAGGACATTTCGAGCATCAGGGACATCACGAGTGAGGAATGCTTGTCCGATTCAGGCATAGAGTATGTGGGGAGTGGCTGGAGCGGGTAACCTAATACAGGTAAGTAGAGTACAGTCGATTCAAGTGCTCAGAATAAAGGGGAGTGATGGAAGGGAGGGATTAGGTAGGAAGGAGTTGTCAGGGAAGGCTTAAGGAGGCAGAGTCATTTATGTAGTTGTTGGAGTCATAGAGGAGCATGACTTGGCAGGGGTGAAGTGGAGAGAACCAAGTCACATGGGCAGTGGAGACCCTGGGTGGGGTAATGAAGAATGGGACTGGGGAATAAAGGGGGATGGGGAGGAAGGAAGGTAATAGTTCCAGTGGCAGCTGAGAGGTGAGATGTGCAGTGGTTCTAAAATGTATGGGAGGCCAGAATTCTCACCCTGCTAGTGAGGTCAGGATGGTCACCGTGGCTGAGCTGCAGGATGCTTTTTCCTGCCAGATGGATAGGCTCCCCATGCCTCAGGTCAAGTAAGCCAGGAGCCAGAGTATCAAGTAAGCCAGGGAGGGAGGAGAAGGAGGTTCGGGATGCAGGCAGGCTCCAGAGGGCACTGCAGCAAACTTGACCCTCTGCTGCCTGTCCCTGAGGCCTGCCTGGCAGCCAATATCCCCATTGCAGAAAGATGCTCGGGGCTCAATGTGTACTTCTGGCTGCTTCCAAGCAGTTTGTAATGCTGAATTGCCTTGTGCCCACATCACCTTGTTGTGAGGTCAGCGTCACCAAGAGGCCCTGCAGACTGGGGTGGGGAGGGGAAGAGGCAGGAGACCAAAGAACTCAGCGCTTACCTCCAGTTATGAGTCAGACAGGGCTCACCAGTGCTGCAATTCCCAAAGCCCATTCAGCAGCTTTTGAGGCCTCCTGCAGTTTTCCTGTGAAAAAAGCTCCTAAATCGAAGATCACAGACATGTAATCACTCCTGTGCATAACACCTTTAAGGTGTTGGTTGCCCAGCACCTCCAGGACGAAGTTCACACCGCAAGATGCAGTTTACAAGGCCCTCCCCGACCTGGCTCCTGCTCCAGCTCCGGCCTGCTTCTCACCACGCCCCGTACTCACATTTTATGTTCTAGCATCATCCAGCTGCCTGGAGCTCCTCTTGTAAACCATGCTTTTTGTCACATCTGTTTCTGTGCTCACGCTGATTACCTTTGCCCCAAATGCCTTTCTATACTGCCCCCATTTTGCCCTTTATTTCTTCCCCCTACTCCATCCTTTATGACTCAACTGAGGTGTCACCTTCTCCAGAAAGAATTCCCCACCTGAGTCAGATCCACCTTCTGAGTTAGGTCCACCCTTTCAGTGCTCCTACAATTTCTCTGTTTTTGTGCTTACCATATTGTTTTTTTTAACTACCTGCTATGTATCTGTCTCCCCAACCTGAGCCCTGAGGACTGAATCTTTCTCATTCTTGTGTTCCTAGTGCCTAGCACACAGAAAGCACTTGCTAAGTGTAGAACAAAATCATGAGATGTTAGGAGGATCAACCGGTGGGTGAGTTGTTCTGATGGAGTTTTCTTGAGGGGGAGCTTCCTGTTTCAGAAGCTTGCCCTGTAGGTGGCCAGCAACCACTGTTACAAACATGTTCCATATGCAGAGCTGGAACCTTCCTCTAAGGCCACCCCATCGGTCCTAGCTCTGGCCTTTGGAACTATCCCAGATGATTTGGATCTCTTCCCTGCCTAACAGCCTTTGAGTGTTGGATACAGGATCTCATGTCTACCCACGTTAGAGGAATTTAAAAGGGACCGTCTGGGGGACAGAAGGAGAAATGTAAAAGGAAGTAGAAAAAACAGAGGGAAGGTTTACGGAGTGGTTTTGACAAATAAACAAGGCAACACACGTAAGCAGGGAGCATAGCACCTGGAATAGGGTAAGCTCTTAGTAAATAGTAATGTGTATGCTTTATTAAGGTCTTACTCTAATAGGTGCCACATTTTATGTTCTAGCATCATCCAGCTGCCTGGAGCTCCTCTTGTAAACCATGCTTTTTGTCACATCTGTTTCTGTGCTCACGCTGATTACCTTTGCCCCAAATGCCTTTCTATACTGCCCCCATTTTGCCCTTTATTTCTTCCCCCTACTCCATCCTTTATGACTCAACTGAGGTGTCACCTTCTCCAGAAAGAATTCCCCACCTGAGTCAGATCCACCTTCTGAGTTAGGTCCACCCTTTCAGTGCTCCTACAATTTCTCTGTTTTTGTGCTTACCATATTGTTTTTTTTTTAACTACCTGCTATGTATCTGTCTCCCCAACCTGAGCCCTGAGGACTGAATCTTTCTCATTCTTGTGTTCCTAGTGCCTAGCACACAGAAAGCACTTGCTAAGTGTAGAACAAAATCATGAGATGTTAGGAGGATCAACCGGTGGGTGAGTTGTTCTGATGGAGTTTTCTTGAGGGGGAGCTTCCTGTTTCAGAAGCTTGCCCTGTAGGTGGCCAGCAACCACTGTTACAAACATGTTCCATATGCAGAGCTGGAACCTTCCTCTAAGGCCACCCCATCGGTCCTAGCTCTGGCCTTTGGAACTATCCCAGATGATTTGGATCTCTTCCCTGCCTAACAGCCTTTGAGTGTTGGATACAGGATCTCATGTCTACCCACGTTAGAGGAATTTAAAAGGGACCGTCTGGGGGACAGAAGGAGAAATGTAAAAGGAAGTAGAAAAAACAGAGGGCTGTGTGGTTTTTATGTGGAATATGATCATCTTTAAATTGAGAACGGAGAGAAAGCAAGAAAGATAAGAAAACATGTCTCCGTCTGCCATGATGGAGATGGTTTGAAGGGTTTCCAGTCAAGACTCCAGAAACCTGAGCACTCGGTTCTGGCTTAGTGCGGGGAGCTTCGAACTTTTTTGTCTTTCAACTCCTTTTCATTTAATGGAATAATTTTTGGATAAGGTACCAATGATGCCTTTTCAAAGTACAT